GGACTGGCCGCAGAAATGGCTCTCGGGAGGGGGACTCCGCCCTGGTCAAGGTCAGATGTTTCCTTCCCTTCCGCACTCAGAAGGAAAGCACACCCAGGCTCCCAGGGCAACAGCAGAGGGATTTCATCTGTCGTCATACTGAGCTACTGTCCCCAACTCAACACAAGGGGAGTCTCACTGAGCACAGTAGCCGCGTCCCTAGAGAGGCGTGAAAATCAGATCATCCTAAACAGAACCACCCCTAAGACCAGGGAAGGAACCCTGCGGGGTCACACTTCCTTTTGGGTGTGTCTCATTCCCTCGCTCAGAGGGACTGGGCTTGGATGAGCCGGATCTGCCACCTACTCCCCGGGAGGCCTGGCCCCGAGCCCAGGGCCCGTCCATAGGCGATTCTCTGCCTGTAGAGCCCAGTGTGGCTCAGGACGCAGTGAGAGACAGGAGAGTGAGCTCATCTTAATTAGGTTTGTTTTTTAAAGTGTTTTGGTCCAGTGAGGTATGTATTATACAAGTCTTTTTCTTATTTCTCATATTTTGTACCAGCTGTAATCTCACCACTTCCTATTCAAATCTCAGTCTGTGCAGCAAAGGAAACCTCAACAAAATGACAAAATGAAATGACAACCTACTGAATGGGAGAAGGCACTCGCCAATGATACATCCATTAAGGAGTTAATACCCAAAATACTTACTAGTAAGGAACTCATATGACTAAACTCCAAAAACAATCTGATTAGAAATGGGCAGAAGACCTGAATAGACATTTCTCCAAAGAGGACACACAGACAGCCAATAGACATATGAAAAGATGTTCAATGTCACTAACAGGAAATGCAAATTAAGACCACACATATCACCTCCCACCTGTCAGAATGGCTGCCTTCAATAAATCAACAAACGACAGTGTTGGTGAGGAGGTGGAGAGAAAACCCTTGTGCACTGTTGGTGGGAATGCAGACTGATGCAGCCACCAAGGAAAACAGTATGGAGGTTCCTCAAAAAATTAAAAATAACACTTCTACATGATCCAGCAAGCCCACTTCTGGGTATTTATCTGAAGAAATTAAAAAGACATATGCACCCATATGTTCATTGCAGCATTATTTGCAATAGCCAAGCTATAGAAACAACCTGAGTGTCCATCAGTAGACAGATAAAGAAGAGAATATGACTCTTGTACTGAGTGAAATATGTCAACAGACAGCCAATAGACATATGAAAAGATGTTCAATGTCACTAACAGGAAATGCAAATTAAGACCACACATATCACCTCCCACCTGTCAGAATGGCTGCCTTCAATAAATCAACAAACGACAGTGTTGGTGAGGAGGTGGAGAGAAAACCCTTGTGCACTGTTGGTGGGAATGCAGACTGATGCAGCCACCAAGGAAAACAGTATGGAGGTTCCTCAAAAAATTAAAAATAACACTTCTACATGATCCAGCAAGCCCACTTCTGGGTATTTATCTGAAGAAATTAAAAAGACATATGCACCCATATGTTCATTGCAGCATTATTTGCAATAGCCAAGCTATAGAAACAACCTGAGTGTCCATCAGTAGACAGATAAGAGAATATGACTCTTGTACTGAGTGAAATATGTCACACACAGAAAGACAAATACCACATGATTTCACTTATATGTGGAATCTACTAGTAAAACAAACAAAATCTCTATATATATAAGCCTAATATGCAAAGTGTCCCCTTGGGAGTTCGACCCATCAGGAGTTTGATCGCTCACTATGATGCGCACTGACCACGATGGGGCGGCGTGGAACAAAGGGAGGCCTCGGCCAGCAGCTGCTAGGGACCTTACGCATGCACGAATTTTATGCACTGGGCCTCTAGTAAATAGATAAAAACAAACAGACTCATAGATACTGAGAACAAATTAATGGTTGCCAGAGGGGAGGGGACTTGGGAGACTGGGAGAAAAGGTGAAGGGATTAAGATGTACAAATTGCCAGGTATAAAAACAGTCACAGGGATGTTAAGTACAGCACAGGGAATATAGTCGATAATATTGTAATAACTATGTATGGTGTCAGGTGGTTGTAGACTTATGGGTGAGCACTTCATAAGGCATATAAATGTCTAATCACTATGTTGTTTTGTTTTGTTTTGTTTTTTGTCAGGGGGCGCATGCGCAGGAGCCGCCGCCCACCTCTCCCCCCTACCCCCCAATCACTATGTTTTACACCTCGAACTAATATAATATTGTATGTCAAGTATAATTGAAAAGTAAAAAAAGTTAGGAGAAAAGGTGAAGGGATTAAGATGTACAAATTGCCAGGTATAAAAACAGTCAGAGGGATGTTAAGTACAGCACAGGGAATATAGTCGATAATATCGTAATAACTATGTATGGTGTCAGGTGGTTGTAGACTTATAGGTGAGCACTTCATAAAGCATATAAATGTCTAAACACTATGTTTTACACCTCGAACTAGTAATATTGTATGTCAACTATAATTGAAAAGTAAAAAAAGTTAAAAAAAAGAAAATGCACAGATTAGCAGCACCTAAGCCACCAATGAAATATTTTGCTGTACTTTAAAGTGTTTCAAACCAAAATATTCACAAAGGTTCATTGGAGTAAGGACTGTTCAGTTATACAACGTTAAGAAGTAACGATAATAAATGCTGGTAAAAAGGAAGGAAAGAAGCATCTGTGCTAGGCAGAATAATGACCCCCAAAATGCCTGCACCCTGCTCCCTGGGACCCGTGAATGTGCCCCTTTCCGTGGCAAAGGGGACCCCGCAGTTGTGACTCAGGGTCTCGGAAGAGGGAGGTTACCCAGGCCCGGTGTGGTCACAGGGTCCTTAGAGGGGGGTAGATCGGGGGTACTGTACTGCGGCTTTGGTGATGGAGACCGCCAGCTGGAGGTTCCGGAAAAGGTGGGGAAACAGATGCGCCCTGACTTCCACCCTGGAAGTCCCGTCTGGGTGTCTGCCCTCCAGGACTGTAGGACAGTGCATCACAGCTGTGTGGTCCTGAGCCACTAAGTGTGTCACAGTGTGTGACGGTAGCCGTGGGAGGTCAGAGTTCACCAGCCCTGCGCTCACAGCCACAGCCCATCCTCCGAGTGCGCCCTGGGCCCAGACTACTGGCCCTCCAGCCCACCCTCTGCCCAGCAGGCAGGAGCCACTTAAAACACAACCAGATTGTGGGTTCCCCACGGGAGCCTTCAGCTGCGCCCTTCACTCCCTGCCCCTCTCAGGGCACTTCCTGCCATCTTCAGGCAGCTGGCCCCCCAGGGGGGCTCTGGCTGCATTTGTAACCTAAACCTTTATACTATACTAGAGGCCTGGGGCACGGATTCATACACCAGTGGGGTCCCTGAGCCTGGCTGCACCCTCTAACAATCTGGGACCCCTTGGGGGATGTGGGATGGCCAGTTTGGGGATTGGAACCAGCAGTCCAACATCCCCCGAGGGATGTAGTAGTGCGTGAAGCGGCAGGCAGCCAGGGAGGAGCCCGAGTCTGTGCTGGGTGCCACGCTGCTCCCGCTCAATCCGGCCCCTCTGTGCCTGTCACTGCTGCCGCTCGGTAGTGCCGCCGCAGCGTGCTCACCAGCTGTGAGCCCGGCGTCTGGAGCCCAGTGGTCAGCTGAGCGGTGCTACCACTGTGGGAGCACACTGAGCTCCTGTGTTGAGTGTCTGCCCCCTGGTGGTCAGTGCACGTCAAGCGACCTGTCGAACGGTCGTTCAGTCATTTAGGCTTTTATATATATAGATGACATGCGAACACCCCTGTGAGCTCCAGGGCCAGGAGAACCTGCCTTGTTCCCCGTTCCATCCTCCATGACTGGGACAGCGCTTCCCACTGTGTGTTCGAGAGAGGTCCTGGGATGAAGGAAGGCATGAATGTCCTGCAGGGTTTCCCTGTACATGGCAGGGTATGCCCTCCCTAAAAGAGTGTTTTAAGTCCTGTCCTTAGAAACTCACAGATCACAGCATCGCATAGGCCCACTCAGCGCCACCTCCTGTCTGGTCGCCCAGAACTACAATGTCGGCTGTGAGTGCTGCTGCACGTCCCCTCACGTTGTTTTTATCCACGTGTGCACCATTGTCTCCCTTCCCTCCCACATGAACCCACGACCCTTTTCCCATGCGGATACGCCACGCCTCTGAGGCGGGTGGGAACACGGACACCCTGCGCGGTGTCCTGACTGACATCACCACTCCGTGTGCTCCGTTTCCCCGATCGCCACCTCTCCCGTGTTGCTGGAGAAATACTGTGTTTTCCCTTCCCCCGTCTCATGACAGGGCCCCGACCACGTGCCCAGGTCACGCACAGGCCAGCGATCTCTCGAGAACCATGCAGCTCCCTCACTCACGGCTGCAGCTGAGGGAGCCCTGTAACCCAGGTCCTCGAATGTTGCTTCTCTTTCTCTTTCTCTACAACCTACTCTTCGGTCTTTTCTGAGGCTCCAGCTGACAGCCGAGCCAGGAGGCCCCGGACCCCACTTGGTTGTAGCTGCGTCCTCATCGCAGGCTCTACGGGTGGGTCAGCACATGCGCTCCTGTCGCCTCTTCACCGCCCCGCGCCCCGTGTGTGATAACCAGTCAGTGACCCCCTGGGAGGAGGCCCTTATTCGACACTGGCATCTGCCCTGACTACCCTCTTAGGATGAATTCTCCCAGCCCCTCCCATGTCTGTGCTGCACCTCTCGACTGTGCGTGCAGTGTGTCCACAGCATTCTCTCTTCTCGGACTGGAATGTGCCTTTGCTGGAAGATCAATGAAAAAGGGGTGGAGTGTGGGGAGGGGTGAAGGCCATGGCTGGTACCTTCTCTCACAGCCTTTAAACACGGTCCAGAGCTGGTGGCCCCACAGCTGTGCTTTGGAAAGAGAAAGTGTACCTAACAGTGTGGCCTCTCAGTGTCTCCGTGTTGCATCACCAGCCAGCTGGGCAGCAGCTGTCCGTGAGCCCTGCTCCGCTGTCCCGTCCCTGCGCTCGGAGCCCCACTTAACCCTTCTCCCCTCTTCTTACAGTGACGCCGCCCCGCCCGGAGAGCCACTGAACAAGAGCAGCCGGCCCAGGGTGGCCTCCCGCTTCCCCAAGCTGTCCCGCAGCCACCCCAGGGAGATGCGCAACGTGGAGCCCCAGAGCGGCGACCTCTGACCTCCGTGGACTCCCAGACTCAGCCTCCGTGCTGCGCTGCTGCCTCCCCGGCCACCTGCCCCCAGTCCGGCCACGGCAGCCGGACCTGCCACCTGGAGTGACAGCCACACGCACCGGTGAACCTGAGAGCACACCTTCCACCGGTCACATGGCACCGATTAAACTGGTCAGACGTGGACACGTGGGCACCACTCTCCCGGGTCTGCCCGAGCAGCCAGGCTTCCTCCTCTCCCTCCAGCCCAGGGGCCGGCGGAGGGCCAGGTGGGCGTGGAGCCCCTGGTTCCCTCAGAAACGGCCTCTTGGCTTTTCCCGCTGGGAGCTGGAATGACTGTTACAGTCTTTCTTTCTCTTTTTCCTGCAACTGCCTGCTGCAGCCTGCGGCCCAGTGGGGGCGGTTTCCTTGCCGTTTTACTCCCCACCAGTAGCCATTAGACACGACCCCTTGTTAGCGCCCCATGGCCAGCCTCAGCTCTGCGGCTCCTCCCACAGGAGACCCCGGGGCCTGTGTGAGAAGGAGCCCGTCGGCGACGTTGAACTGTGGTTCCCGGGTGATGCCTGGCTTCTGGGAGGAGTGGCCCCCAGGAAACCCAAGGACCCTGATCCACAGGCACCTTGTGAGGTTTGGGGGACCTCACCCAGCCAGCCATCGGTGGCAACATGGTGTCCCCACGGTGGAGCGCCCTGGGCTGCCCAGGAATCGGTGGCTTCGCCTTCCCAGCCGAGAGGCCTTGGGCTGTGAGAGACTTGGTTCTGCAGAGACTCTTAGGCCCTCGGCCTGCAGACCTGGCCCCCAAGCTCGTGGGCCGCCACATGGCTCGCTGTGAACTGGGGCGCACGTCCCCCTTGAACAGATCATGGTCATTCCCTAAGACAGACTGGAGGGCACCAGGCCCCTGGGCCCCTGGACTGATAAAATGAGAGCGTGGCCTCCCCCCGGCTCCCCCCAGCATTCCAAGTCAGACCCTCCCGGGCCAGGGCCGCCGGCTGTGCAGAATCATGGACTTGCCTCTCCCCTGGGCGCAAGCACTGTGAGGAGGAGGCTGCATTTCTGGGAGATACTAGAAAGCAGGTGTGAGGTTGTTTGTAAAGAGACTGCGCGGGGATGAGCGAAACCTGAGGACAGATCCGTAGGGAACTGGATGACGACCCTGTGAAGGACGGTCAGTGGAGCTAACCACCTCCGCGTCCCGGAGCCCTCAGCTCCACTCAGACCTCAGGGGGCCCAGGTGGGCTGTCCCTGGGAAGAAACCTGTGCAGGGTATTAGAGGTGCCCCATGGACAAGAGAGCCACCTCCTGTGTACAGCCGCACAGCCCGCAGAGCTACAGGCCCGACTCCCTTCTGGGGACAGCCAGGTGGGCCGAGGGCCTGCTGTTCTCAGGGCGGCAGGAGTGAGTGTCAGGGGACCCTGCAGTCAGTCCAGGGTCAACCTTCTCCTTCGTTTCAACTCGCAGCCCCACTGCGCCCCTGCCGCTGCAGCTGCTCTGGACAGAGCCGCCCTCCGAAATGGGCAGGTGCCCCACTCCAGCTGCCCCGCGCCACACGCTGTCTGCTCCACCTCCGTCGTCGTGACGGAGCCGAGAGACCTTCCAGCACTGCCGTCTGGACAGCGGAGCCTGCTCCCCGACATCTCTCCTTCTGGTCGTGTCAGCACCCACCTCCGGCAGCCCCACCCGGGACCACGGGCTCTGACCAGCAGCCTTTGCCGGCACCTGCCCCGAAACACGTCCGCATGCGATCCTCCAGGAACCTGCTCCCACAGCCAGGCGGACAGGTGCTCAGCCTGTATTCAAACAGGAGAAACCCTGCCTCCCATCTTCCGAAGCTGAATTTTTCATGGAAAACTCGCCCTGCTCTCCCACTGGTTGTAAAAGCACATTCCTAGGACCACACGGGAACTTCGCTGCTTGCTCGTTGTACCCTGTTTTGTGATCATGCAGAAACCCTGGAGTCACCTTTAGCGTACAGACACCCCTAATTTTAGCTCAGATATGCATGTGACATGCACATTACAGCAACTCCTCAGAGCCTTAACTTTGGAAACAGACTGTTCTGCAGTGATTTAGTCCATTCAGCTGCTGTGCGTGTGGAAGGAGGGACTTCCCTGTTCCCAGAGCAGGAAGACAGACCCCAGGCCCAGCCAGGTGCACAGATGCCAGCCCCTCGGGACTTTCCCCTGCGCTTCAACCCAGATCCACTTCCGAGGGCAGGCTGCCGACCTCCCTGCGCACACCCCCCAGCCCGTGACCATCCGCAGAAAGGACAGCCCGCAGTTGGCTCGGCATGGCTGGCTCCAGCTCAGCATCCATCCCCGGCACACGGCTCCATGTGAGGGACAGGTAATCCCTTGCAGTGCACCGAGCCGCAGTTAGAACAGCCCAGCGTTTGTCCAGTCGGGCCCTGGGGGAGGAGGTGGCTCTCCTGTCCACAGTGGCACCTTTAATACCCAACAGCTGGGCACATTGGGGTCACCTGGTTACAAACGGGGTCACCTGATTGAGTAGTGAAGACAGGATACCATCATACGAGACCTAGCGGGAAGGG